TGGAGTTTTTGCTGGCCTCTCTATCCACCTCAACGTTGAAGCAATACAACACAAACCTGAAGACGTGGTACTGTTCGTCAAGGAATAGTAACTTTTTCTTTCCTTCAAGATCAAATATTTTGTCCTTTTTAGCGCATTTCCACAAAAATAAAAAAAAAATGCGCTATTGTGGCCACTTTGTCCGTTCGTCCGTCCTTCCGTCCGTCCGCTAACTTTGCGACGCTACTAGTTTTTTATCTTAAGAGCTATTGTTCTACTTTTTTCGCTATTTGGTTCGTTATGGTGTCGTCTTGTACCAAGGAAGGAATTTTTTCTGTACCGCTTACAAAAAAAGTTATTGTAAAAAAAACAAAAAACCGTTTTTTACATGTTCCATAATTTTACACTTTTGCCGTTTATTAACGATCCTAGAGATCGTTTATAATTTTGCATTGCTATCTGTCGCCTGCCGGTTGGTCTCTCCGGCTGTTCCTTTGTCTGTCTGTCCATCTATCTGTCCGTGTGAACGATAACTTTGTTTAGAAATGTTCGATCGCTTTTACATCTCCGTTAGTTATGAACTGAATTGCATGAAATTCAATATGGGCATAGCTTTAGCCATATAATACGCAATGCCAAAAGTTGAATCGAATCGATTCAAAATTCACAGTGCCCTTTTCGCATCTCGACCATTTATAAACCGAATTGCAAACTTTTTACTTATAAAAGTATTTGAATGAAATTTGATACATAGGCACTTGGAATAAAGGAAAATCAAACGCCAATTTCAAAATTTGGTTTTGCGCATGCGCAGTGCCAACTTTTTTATTTATGGAAGAATTTAAACGAAATTTGATACATAGGCACTTGGGATAAAGGAAAATCAAACGCCAATTTCAAAATTTGGTTTTGCGCATGCGCAGTGCCAACTTTTTTATTTATGGAAGAATTTAAACGAAATTTGATACATAGGCACTTGGGATAAAGGAAAATCAAACGCCAATTTCAAAATTTGGTTTTGCGCATGCGCAGTGCCAACTTTTTTATTTATGGAAGAATTTAAACGAAATTTGATACATAGGCACTTGGGATAAAGGAAAATCAAACGCCAATTTCAAAATTTGGTTTTGCGCATGCGCAGTGCCAACTTTTTTATTTATGGAAGAATTTAAACGAAATTTGATACATAGGCACTTGGGATAAAGGAAAATCAAACGCCAATTTCAAAATTTGGTTTTGCGCATGCGCAGTGCCAACTTTTTTATTTATGGAAGAATTTAAACGAAATTTGATACATAGGCACTTGGAATAAAGGAAAATCAAACGCCAATTTCAAAATTTGGTTTTGCGCATGCGCAGTGCCAACTTTTTTATTTATGGAAGAATTTAAACGAAATTTGATACATAGGCACTTGGGATAAAGGAAAATCAAACGCCAATTTCAAAATTTGGTTTTGCGCATGCGCAGTGCCAACTTTTTTATTTATGGAAGAATTTAAATGAAATGTGATACATAGGCACTTGGAATAAAGGAAAATCTAGCGCCAGTTTCAAAATTTTATTTTGCGCATGCGCCGTGCCAACTTTTTTATCTATGGAACTATTTAAGTGAAATTTGATACTTAGGCGCTTGGAACAAAGGAAAATCTTAGTTTATTAGTTAGTTATAGTAAATTAGTTTTAAAATTTAGGTTTGCGCATGCGCAGTTCCAACTTTCTTATTTAGAAAAGCATTGAAATGAAATTCTTCTCATAAACTGAAATTGAAGTAGCACGTCAACAATGGATTGCCCATGTGCAACGCTATCTTTCATATTTGTGGCCGGATTTTTACGATTTTAACAGAAGTTGCATCTTACAAATGGGAAATGAATGCAAGTGGAAATGCGCTTTATGTAAATCGTTTACGATTACTTTTTAACTTGTTTATTTTTGTGAAAATGCGCTAGTAACTATTTACTCCGAAATTTGTGTCTACCTTCATTAGTGAATACATTACTACATTTCAACAAAAATAACTAGATAGATATCTCTCCCATATGCATATGCATGAATACCATATGCCACTGTTTATCATTGAAATGTACTTTGTGTTTCCCCGTCATTATAGTTTCAGATGACGGTTTGCTGAAGGGAGTTCTACAGATTTTTTGAGGACGAAGAGTCTTGGTCGTCTTGGGTTTCCTTTTATGGATGGCCAAGTCTCGGTTATGTAATTTCTCAAGATAATAGTAATCACGTAAGATCAAAATTATTCTTTAAGCATATACCTGTAAAGTATTTGTGCTGTTAAATTAAGGTTTAATTTAACTTTATTGATGTCTATTTTTTATAGAAGGCAATCGTTTTTTGTGGGGACATTATGGGGGGCTTACCGACACACCATTGTTTTTAGCATTTGAATCGCCTCAATTGTTAGATGGTCTTATGAAGCATATCAACAACGACAGGTTGTTGAATCTGCTTCATATGTAATGGAAAATTTACGGATTTACGGATGTTATCATGTAGTTACTAATGTCTCTACTCGAATTCCATTCACCTAAATAATTTTTTGTTTATGGGCCGCTGCTTTGTCTAATTTATACGTATATTCTAATACTATAGTAGAAAGGAACCATGTTTCGCATAGATATTCCTTGAGATAAAAAAAATACTGCCCTACATCGTGCTTTTAAATGACACTGTCCGGGAAGTGGTCTAACTTTGGTTGTTGGGTTGGTATCAAATACCATTCGTAAGCTGCTTGTTTATTAATTTTCCACAGGTTTCTGTGTACATGTAATACATTTACTCCCACGATTATATCGACGCGTTTTTTCACATTCGGCACAATTTGACCGTGTACCACATTTTCGAACATAATTAGCGATTACTTGTTCTTGTTCTTCAGAACATACTTTTCTACATCTGTAGTTAGGTTTCATTCTAATTTAAACAATTAAATTTATTTTCTCTGCATACCGATGGTTTGAAATTTAAAATCGAAGTAATTAGCTTAGCTGCCTATCTTATACCGAAACTCCCCTTCTGTCATTAATCTAATAACGGCCCTCGTGGAATCTTCACTGTCCTTTAGGGTTTTTGTTTTTTCTACCAAGAGCCATGATATTCTAGAATTAAACTATAAATATTCACTCTGTAGTGAACCAAAAACGTCCTCGCATAAATAAATGTCAATTCATCCGCACGTGAAGCAAATTCGCGAATCTTCTGGGGTGGAATCTTACAAAATCGAATCTTTAGGAGGCGAATATTGCAGGGGCGAATTTACCTGGATATTTAGTGTAAACTTTTCGGAGATTAATTATTATTGGGGCGAGTTTTATCACAGAAATTGAAGGAAATTTTAGGCATATGTATAGTAGCTAGTTCCCTTGGCGTCTAGGTTGTGCGAAAAAACGGGAACAGTTTTTCGAGGCGAATGTTCGGAGCTGAAATTTTTCGGAAACACATTATGAAATTTAGATTGATTCAATTTTTTAATTCCTCTAATTAGCAGTCGAATTTATCAGTCACGTACATAACTCAACCCATTGGGTCGTATGAATAAAAGTGAGCAAATGCTTATACTTGCAAAATTCAAAGTAAATACTCCTAAGTGCCCCTTCATACTGGTTTGTTTAGCAGCGCTGCACTGTGTCCTGTCCTGCTGCTTAGCAGCGCTGCTAAGTCGCCCAGTGTGAAGGAGCACTTACGAGTATTTACTTTGAATTTTGCAAGTATAAGCATTTGCTCACTTTTATTCATATGGGCCAATGGCTTATTTCACAGTTTTTATAATGGTGCAATTTTTGCAATATTTACACGCTTTTTTTGCACTAATAGTATAACTTAGTGCATTAACCTCAATACCTGGCGTGCAAGATCATGGGCTCGTATAAAAATGCATGTTAAGTTTTCTGCAGAGTTATTTTTCGTGATCAAAATAGACGTTTTTGTTGTTACTTTTTTATCTCAGCTCCTCAGTCATTTGTGTAAATTGATGCTAAAAATGGCCAAAGGTGCAGTTTTGTTGACTCGAGTCAGTCTCAAACACAACGGCAGGTGAGTGAGAAGTTTTTAAATTACAATTTCCGTTCGTTTCCTTTTTTGATTTAATATTTTATATTGGTAATTTAGTAAGAAATAGCGTAAAGCTTCTGTAAAAAATGGAATATTTTCCAATTTTCCCAAAATCGTGAGATATACCACAATTTCCGTGATAAGGGTCCTACACTAACTGCGATGATTTCCAATTTTGTAATTCAACTAGGCGCAATTTCGTTCCAAATTGTTCCACTAATTTAAAGAATTACTTGAAATTTCGTTTTTGCATTTTTGACATAATTGCCTCGTCTTTTCGGGCGTTGCTAGTTTTTACTGTTCGGTTCGGAGTTTTAAAATCGTTAGTTAATTTCCATCCATGAACTCCGATTAGGTGCATAATTCTCATTAAAATATGCAATATTGTTTTTTACCAACAATAAAGTTTTCAAAATCATAATGCTTACGTATATACCGAGGCCAGATTATGTAAGCCCCTTTTAGAATAACAAAATAATAATAGAATCGTTAAAACGAACATCTCGATACAGCAAAATAGGTACATCGTTTGTGAAGAGTGAAGAAAGAACGATTTTTTATAGGTAACATGTCTTTGATGATACAAAAACTAAAAACAAATATTGAGCAAGGTGTAACAGTTTTTTAGTATCAGTTATCAAGTAATCTAATACTGATTTCTTGTAAGTATAAAATAGTACATTATATATCAAGGTAGAGAAGTCCAGTATTATTGCATCAGCACCAAGATTACATCTCGAGGCGCTTGCGCCGAGGGGTGTAAGGTGCGAAGGCAATAATAGACTTCTCTACCGTGGTATATATACTATTTTTTTCACTACTAGCACTTGAAGTCCTCTAAATTAACATATTATATTGATAAGAAAGTGAACGGTTGGACAGAATTGTTTGTTTCTTAATTTAACATGTCAATCAAGTACGTTGAAGTACAAGTCAAACAGGCCGTATTTTGTTCTGTCATTGAGATATTTTCAAAGAGTAATTTCGTTCGAATTTTTTCAAAATGTGATAATTTTAGGTATGTAATTTCTCTGGAAATGGCGGATGGTGGCAATTATTCATTTTAGAGAACTTGTCTAAACGTTTATTGAGCGAAATTTCGGGTTGTGTTTTCTAAAAGTGACAGCGTGACAGTTCTCATTATTGACTACTAGTTAATAATATCCACATTATTAACCACTTTGAACAACTGCCGAGAAAGCCTACTTTACAAGTGGAAAAAAGGTTAATAATCATGTCATCAGACGCTAGTAGTGAAAAAAAACAGTAATCACTTCAAGACGAAGAACGGGCTATTCAAAAAATTTAGTAAATACTTTTAATGCGTTTCAATAAAAATAGTGAGGTACTGGCCAATTAATATTAATCATTTGACTATTTTTAGACTTATAGTTTGTTTCGATGCAGCTGGATAATTATATTTACCATTTTTTACAGAAATATGGTAGAAGTTCATCTTGAAGAAAACATTAAAAAACGACGATTTTTGTTCCGACAAGCGATATGCAAATTGGGAAAGCTAATTACAGTTGAACCGCTTATACTATGTTTCATATTACCGTTTCACATGTCGACACTAACCATTCAGAATTTAAGTTTGGAGAAATCTTGCAGAGTGAACCTTAATCTTAGTATATCGATTTGTGACGCTATTACCGCACGTAATCACACCCAATACAATTCGTCGGACGAAGTTGATGTACAGAAGCTGGTGGCATCTGCGTCGATTTGGAAGAACGTCGTGTACAGTATATTCCCCTCAATCCTATTGCCATTCTTTGGAGCTTGGAGCGATCGAAATAAAACCAGAAAGGTTCTAATGATAATGCCAATTGTAGGTGAAATGATTACAAATGTGGGGTTCATGCTGTGTACCTTTTTCTTCCACGAGCTACCGCTAGAAGTCAACACCCTGATCGAAGTCCTGCCTACCGCCACAACGGGTGGCAAAAATATGCTCCTAGTTGGCGTATTTACGTATGTCTCCGCCATTACGGCCACTGAACACCACACGATTCGGATTGGGATTATACATGTGTTCGTTGGTATGTGCGCTGCAATTGGGGATGCGTTGAGTGGAGTCATCTACACGTTAATCGGATTTTATGGAGTGTTTACCTTGTCTTTCGTTTTATACACGTTAGGCGGATTTTATGCGTATTTTCGACTGAACGAGGCTCCACGTGAGGGAGAAAAACCCTTGATCGGATTCGAGCTTGTTAAGGACATTGTGAACGTCCCAAAGACTTTTGCCACGTTTAAGTTTCTGGCACATCGTAGTATTCAAACCAAGCAAATTTTTGGAATACTGATCTTGGCAGTTTTAGTCGTGGGCCCAGTTAAAGGTAAACTTTTCGCTATAATCCTTCGTTACCTTTGGTTATGTTTGTAGGAGAAGAGGCGGTGCTGTATATGTATACAAGGTTCAAATTTCATTGGAACGAGATTGATTATAGTATGTTTTACGGATATTACTCTGTAGCACATCTGATTGGTAAGTTGTCTAAAATAAATGGTTACTTCATTTATGGGAAACTATGAAAAGTAAAATAGCAAATAACAACCCTATGAATTAACTTTTATGAGATGGTTAGTTTCCCTTTATCATCGTGTGTAATACAAAACTTTATTTTTTAGCAAAAGCCATATAAATCATTGTAAAGCTTCGGACAATTCTGAATTTAATTTAAACGTCAAAAATAGCAAGCTTAGGTTCTGCCATCGCGGTCATTTCCATAGAAACCGCATTGTTAAATGTTCTGAACGTCATTTTTCGCGCCCCATTTGAAATAAGAGTGACAGAATTAGAATGGACAATCATATGTCTCATTTTATCTACCCTTACGGTTAAAGTGATCACTTTATCTAACATCACGGTTAAATAGCAACTTAGCCTACTCATGTAAACCTATTAAAATGCCCATTCAACATATGTTACAAAATAAAATAAATTATTTATAATGCTTATAAAACTTGAGGATGCTATTAATTGATTTATTGTAGTTGATTAGATTTTGTACGGTAACGCAAATTGTTTTTGTACAACCTTTCTTTAATCCAGGCTAACACTATATTATCTTTTTAGGAAATTTCTTCGCCATAGCACTGTTTTCCAAATGGTTAAAATTTGACGACGCAATTTTAGGCATTATTTCGAGCACTAGTAAAATTCTAGGTGGAATTTCATTCACTTTAGCCAACAGTGCCCTGATGTTTTACATAAGTACGTATTTCATAAAGACATTGTGACTTGACTAACAAAAGCTATACTTAGGTACACTGATTGAGTCATTTAATGGGACAGCGTTTGTAGCTTCTCGGTCCATAGTTACAAAACTCGTAAACGAACAGAATTTGGGTAAGTACGAAATTGCGCCAAATGCTAACTGAATGTTGCTTTTAAGGTAAAGTCAATTCGCTCTTTGGAGTTGCGGAGTCCATAACGCTTTTGCCATATGGACCAATGTATAGCGCCATATATAAAGCGACAATTGAAACCTTTCCTGGGGCATTCTATATTGCCGGAATCTTCCTTACCGTGCCAGCCATAATCATGTACCTGTAAGGACGATGAACTTAAAAAGACATTATTGTATGAATACGTTCTTTTAGTTGGTTATTCACCAAAAGACATTCGCGGTTTCCGGAGGAAGATTAGACGTGTAAGAAATTTGTTGCAACGTATTTACACCACTTTTCCTATGTATGTTGCTCATAATCCAACGTTACAAACAGGAATTGTATTATAACATGATGGTTTGGAACTCAAGGTGCACCAATATTGTGCAATCCCAAACAAACTTCGTAAATGCTATGGGGTGGGAGTGGGGGTTTGAAATTGTGCCATTTTAGCGCATATGATTGAAATATTGAAGAATTCTCAATAAAAGCGTGTCTTTTGTTATGTTTTGTGTATCAATATACAAGGGTCCAGCCGTAACTCATAGAAGGTAATTTTCAAAACCGCATAAATCGCCCCTTTTTCTATTTATGAGTATAGTCTAGGCGATAAAGACATCTAACTGGACATTTTGAAGTGGAAAAGAAAAAAATGGTGGAATATGTTCAGTTAGGTGTCAGAAACAACATATTAAAAATCCCACCCCCCAGACCCTGTGCTAAAGGCTCCAGCCACCCCACCATCCCCCAAAAACCGTGTTTTCGCTCTTTTTGGCTGATATCTCGCGATCTATGAGGTCTATATGAAATATTTTTAGCTGAAAATATTTCTCGGAAATTTTATACAAGGTAGATACTCAGAAGTTAGCCTAGGTGTACCTCTTAGCCTAGGAAATTCATAAAAGAGGCGAAAATCATCAATTTTCGTGGCTTTTTGCAAATATATCGCGACCTTTAGGGCTAGATGAAATATTTTTAGCTGAAAATGCTCCTCGTGAAATTTTTTACAAGGTAGATACTCAGAAGTTAGCCTAGGTGTACCTCTTAGCCTAGAAAATTCATAAAAGGAGGCGAAAATCATCATTTTCGTGTTTTTTTTTGCGGTTTTTTGCAAATATATCGCGACCTTCAGGGCTAGATGAAATATGTTTAGCTGAAAATGCTCTTCGTGCAATTTCATACGAGATAGGCAACTGAAGAGTTGGCGTAAAGTCACCTTTCACCTTCAACTTTCATGTGTGAGGAAATATTCATTGTAAAACAAAGTATTTCTATGTACCATCGATTTTTGGTAAAAAAGGAAAGTTATACACTGCCTTTTTTTGAGCACCGAAAAAAAAATTGTCTCAGATCGACCCGGAAAAAAATTTTCTTATAGAATGTGGCCTGTAGAATCCATAATTTCAAACAGTTCCAAGATTGGGCTACTAGTTCAAAAGTTACAGCCCTTTGAATTTTCTTTCGAAATTGGTTTCTAGTCTATAACTTTTGATTGAGAAGTCTGATCGAAAAAGTACGAATTGATTTGGATTCTACGCACCAAAATTAATAAGAAAAAGTGTTTTCCCGAGAAATTTTGGTGCAGTCGATTTTTGGTAAAAAAGGAAGGTTATACACTGCCTTTTTTTGAGGCCCGAAAAAAAATTGTCTCAGATCGACCCGGAAAAAAATTTTCTTATAGAATGTGGCCTGTAGAATCCATAATTTCAAACAGTTCCAAGATTGGGCTACTAGTTCAAAAGTTACAGCCCTTTGAATTTTTTTTCCAAATTGGTTTCTAGTCTATAACTTTTGATTGAGAAGTCTGATCGAAAAAGTACGAATTGATTTGGATTCTACGCACCCAAATTAATAAGAAAAAGTGCTTTCCCGAGAAATTTTGGTGTAGTCGATTTTTGGTAAAAAAGGAAGGTTATACATTGCCTTTTTTTGAGCCCCGAAAAAAAAATTGTCTCAGATCGACCCGGAAAAAAATTTTCTTATAGAATGTGGCCTGTAGAATCCATAATTTCAAACAGTTTTGAGATTGGGCTACTAGTTTAAAAGTTACAGCCCTTTGAATTTTTTTTCAAATTGGTTTCTAGTCTATAACTTTTGGTGCCCATGCAGGTAAAGCGGAAGGCGAGGAGAACTACGAGTCGGTAATTTCAGACGACCCACTAGCACTAGAGGACGTCGAAGAGCCTGAAGAAGTGGAATCTGCAGAGGATAATGATTACGTTGAGGTATAAATGAATGTGTGAATATTTTAATATGAAAATACTGTTTTTACGTGAATAAATGGTACATAGAAATACTTTGTTTTACAATGAATATTTCCTCACACATGAAAGTTGAAGGTGAAAGGTGACTTTACGCCAACTCTTCAGTTACCTATCTCGTATGAAATTGCACGAAGAGCATTTTCAGCTAAACATATTTCATCTAGCCCTGACGGTCGCGATATTTTTGCAAAAAACCGCAAAAAAAACACGAAAATGATGATTTTCGCTTCCTTTTATGAATTTTCTAGGCTAAGAGGTACACCTAGGCTAACTTCTGAGTATCTACCTTGTAAAAAATTTCACGAGGAGCATTTTCAGCTAAAAATATTTCATCTAGCCCTAAAGGTCGCGATATATTTGCAAAAAGCCACGAAAATTGATGATTTTCGCTGCTTTTATGAATTTCCTAGGCTAACACCTAGGCTAACTTCTGAGTATCTACCTTGTATGAAATTTCCCGAGAAATATTTTCAGCTAAAAATATTTCATATAGACCTCATAGATCGCGAGATATCAGCCAAAAAGAGCGAAAACACGGTTTTTGGGGGGATGGTGGGGTGGCTGGAGCCTTCAGCACAGGGTCTGGAGGGTGGGATTTTTAATATGTTGTTTTTGACACCTAACTGAACATATTCCACCATTTTTTTATTTTCCACCTCAAAATGTCCAGTTTGCCAATTTTACAGTCTCTATCGCCTAGACTAGTAAGACGAATTTGTTCATTTCTGATTTCGGTGGCGGGTTCTAGCTGTTACAATAAGTAATAACAGAAGCCATATTTATGTCTACCCCTGCACTGGGTGGTCGAGACAACGTGTCGGCTACATTTTTCTTACCCGTGAGGTCTAACAGTTCTATACCCAGTTTTAAGAACCAAAAGCGACCTTGCCTCTACATATCACAATTTATATTAGCATTGTAATGAAAGGTGTCCATGAAAAACCACCATCACATCAAACTGTAAACAGTAATACTTAGCTTTGTGGCAGAAACCATTGTGAATACTTGCTGAAGTTAGATACAGACTATCATCCAAAATGATTGCTTAAATTGCACTTTATTGACGGTGGTGTTACACCTAATGAATATGAACTTATTACGTTAACATTCAAGGTTATATATTTGTATTAAAAACTTCAACTCTCACGAGTACGTAATAGATAAAAATGTAGGTAGGTACCTTTGAATTTTGTCGAATTGCTTTAGTACAATGTAACAAGCGGTTGATTTGTTTAATATTAGTATTTAACTTTCAATTTTTTTCGTACTTCTATTATTTGCATATATCCGTAAGTAACTTAGATCTATATTTGTTTTGTTTAACAATTAATTTGCACACCTCACTTTATTGTTACTAAAATAATTATTTTGGCGTTTGGAAAATGTAACTTTACTCCTTTACATGTAGACAAATGGTAAATACAGCCACACCTTCTCTACCACTTTGGATGATATTCGCATATATGAGGTGGTTTGATTAATTTAATTCTGAGTTTGATTTAATTCGCGTATTTATCAGAAGAAGACTAAAAAAACAGTGGCCTACGGATATGCTAAATCAGTGATCGGTTATTATACACGGTTAAGTCAAATCAGAGACCTATTATCTTATAGGAGAGCTCTCACTGGAGAACTTCTCCCTCAAATGTAGCTCGATGATCACATTTACTTATATCTGTAACTAGCAGGTTGTAAATTAGCTATTAAAAAAAAAAAAATTTGATTTGAACGGTTTTTAGGTTGATTAAATTATTTTTTTGCATAGTTATCAAATTACCGCACTTTTTTCTCAAGAAATCGTATGGATCGTATTTTCCACGATTTTTACTATGCGTTTCCATGGCGTTTAGTCCTATCCATGAATAATGGCATCAATTGTTGAGTGACAGTAAATCCCGAATGTCAATCAGTTATGGGGTATTAAAAATCACTATTCAAAAACTTTCGTGTACAATTCGTGTTGAGGTGACAAAGTTAATGCAAAGGTGGGATGACTTATTTGTCACGTCGCACCGCTGGACTTTGAAATTCACGCTTGTGTATTTAAAAAAAATATTTTTATGTTACCAACATTGATATTAATTCCAGAAATTAATATCAAATATCACACATAATTACAATTTTAATTTAAATAATTTTATTTAATTAATTTTAATTAATTGGTCAAAATCAAACTGTATAGAACGGTAGAAACTAAAGAAACAGTCTTCTAAGTGTTTGTGGACGTATGTACCCTATCTAATTATGCGATTTCCTAAGAGCCTATCTTACATATTTCGGTTAAACTAACCTAAGGGTGAATTTCTACGGAAGCAATTATGTTTTCCTTCTATTACATTTTCGATTTTAATAAAGCAAATTACAATCGAGTCGAGAATACCTTGCCAGTTTTCACTGGACTCGAACCTCTAACGGTACCGAATTACTCGGAAGCTCCCATCTATACAATGCAGTTTCCATATTTGTACCTATTATTGACTTATTTAATTAATAAATGAATTAATAAATGCTTAAATCAACAAACTATACTATCTACATTAAATTTTTAGCATTTACAAAGGCATTTGACCGAGTTGACTATATTGTACTAATATATAAATTAAAGTGTGTGGATGTAGGTTATTTCTTAGTTAAATGATTTACCAATTATGACAAGCCAACAGCAAATAGCGAAAATAGAACAATTTGTATCAATGCTATCCCGGTTCCATCTGGAATACCGCAAGGATCACATTTGAGACCACTTTTTTCACCGATATCGCTGTTTCTACAAAAGTTTTGTTCTGTTTTCGCACGATTTAAAACTGTATACCATGGTTACCTCCAACTCCGATACCGCGTCTGTACGGTATTACGTTTTTTAGTGATGTAACAGGAACGATATGAGTCTTAACTAGTTCGCCGGAGCATTACGGTAGGTACTTTACTGCCCAAATAAAGTTCCATCAAAAAGCACCAAACTAATAAACAGAGTGTTGCATACTCTCGATTCGGTGATCAGGTATCAACTCCACAATCAGAAAATATCAACCAAAACAGTCAAATTTTGGCTTATCTGAAACACATTTAACCCATAATGGTTCAACAGATGATACATCCAATAAAAGGACAAAAATAGATACTTATAACGGGCGCAGAAAGCAAATAAATGGGAGACATTTATACTACTGGATCTTTTGACCTTTGATCAACCGGTTTGAGCTCCCGAAAGGCAAAACTGCTGTACAACTTACAAATGGCGCCCGAACACGAAATGGAAGCCGAGCAGTTATTCATTATTTGTACGTAGTTATTAGAAATTCTTTATACAAACCTAAAATGTCATTGCATTATTGTACTAAATGGCAGAGCTTTCGAAACCATATTGGACTATTCTTTATATCTTATAATTTCATTATTTTCATTATCTTGCGTACTATTGGCTGTACTTGTCACAAGTTTTGTATTAAAATTGCAAATGTTAGGTTGTGTGTAGTTAAAGGGTGGATTTCATTGTACAGTTGGTTAACATTTAGGACATTAAATGTGACAATTTTCCACTCAAGTATGTATTTGTTCATTATCTGCCTTGAAGTTACGAACGGAATCATCATCAATTTTGGAAAATAAATACGAAAGTGGAATTAATCGCCCCCCACAGAACTTGAAGTATTTGTAAACATTGATGCGTGTTTGTTTGGCAAAGCGTGGAACTTCTGAACATTGTAACGCGAGTGTAGGTACAAAAAACGATAAGATAGAAAGGCCGATCGCGGATGTTTATGTTACATTATCTGTTACAATACGTGAGATATATCAAAGTATACCTTTGCGTATGGATAAGCGATCGATTTCGGATATAGAGCCACATTCCGATAACATTTGGCATCGTTGTTGGCCATAAAAACCTGTACTGTAATGGCAAGCTGAGATGGACCATAGATATACATATTTACCAATAAAGGCAATCCAGGGCTAAGATGAGGGAATCAGAAGGTCTGAAGTGATAATTGATTATCGCTGGTATCTAAACCTGGTTAAAATTTGAACGGCTTGTTGTTTCATCGTCTTAGAGGCGTGATGTGTACGTATCTTTCGCAAAACACTTATGTAAAACAGGAGACCGTAGTTACTTAGCTGATTATCTCAAAACTAACGGATATCTTATCCGTATTCTCCATAATCTTATATATTTTGACTGTATATATTATTCTACGTTGCAGTTCGCTTGTGTCTACCTTTGTTTCACTTAACTCCATAGTAAGTAACTTTATTAAGTAATTGAAATTTCAAATATTAATTTTAAATTTTGTTGGAAGGAGGGTATAATTGTGAGCAGTTTAGCAATTTTTAGTTTTACGTTCTATGCTTAAAGTTTCGAAACCATGGGTTCTTACTTGAAGTTTTCCAAACAATCTTAAACCAAATTTTGTCTATCCACCTCGGATGTATGCGTTCTTCACAAACTTTCGGGCGGTATTATAAAGCATAGTTAGCCATGTTGTCAGGCTAACAATGTTGTTAAGGGATGTGGTCGGATGTTGTATATAGTAGTATGAGAAGGCTGCAAAAGTTATTAGGACTGTAACAACCAATAAGAAGTTCTTATTGGCTGTTACATCTTCAATTAATCTAAATGTTTTTACAAAGAATTATGTTATTCTTTGAAAAAAACATCCAATCACATCCTTAACGACATTGTTATCCTGATAACATACTTTATAATACGGGCTGTTTATGAATGTTGCAAAAACAGAATCAAAATATGGTTGTCATAAGTAGGTATTCCTCAAGTACTGATATCAGTAAGGCAAAACACACGTGTTGATACACGAGATACTTGATAGTAGCTACTCCTTGTGATTGTAATTGAATCAACAATCATCTAAGCCCTTTATGTATGCGTCTGATGCGCTTTGGTTGGTCACGGCATAGCATAATATTGATTTTAATGCATATTCATATTTATCGTACATAAATAATTCATGCATACTTTAAGGTGTGCACAATACGAAACCTACTTACGATTCTCTTTGTTACAGCAACATGGTAAATGTTCATTTGGGATCAGATCCCAGCAACGAACGTATCAAATGCAATTTAGGAGGAGGCCTCAGTAGAATACGAGAAGAAATAACGGTCGAACCTGTTCTAGTATTGTTTATGTTATCGTCCAGTATTTCGGCTCTTGCAATTGAAAATTTGAATTTAGAAAAATCGTGTTACGTCAATCTGAATTTAAGTACATCTATCTGTGACGCGATGCAACAGCGTAATCGTTCCGGGTTTAGCGAAATGGACGAAATTACAGTTCAAAAAGTTGTCGCCGCAGCAGGTATTTGGAAATCCGCTGCTTATTGCGTACTCATCACAGTTTTGCTACCATTATTTGGATCTTGGAGTGACCGCAATAAAACTGTAAAGATTTTAATCCTACTGCCTATTCTAGGCGAAATTGTAGCAAATATCGGTCTGATATTATGCACTTACTTTTACTACGAATGGCCCATGGAAGTGAATTCAATATTTGAAATTCTGCCCACTGCAATAACTGGAGGTATTCCTTTGGCACTTGCTGGTGTTTTCACCTACATGTCGAGCAACACTACCAATGAAAACAGAACTTTTAGGTTGGGAATTATACACACTTTGGTTGTCATATGCAAAACAATAGGAGGTACACTAAGCGGGGTACTGTACCAGTTAGTCGGATTGTATGGAGTATTTTCCGTTACCTTAGCTTTGTACGTTCTCGGCGCAGTATACACACAGTTTATGTTACCCAGTTGTACAAGTACAAAGGACCAGAAGAGATCTCTGAATAAATGCGAGCTAATTGTAGACGTTGTAAATGTCAAAAAGACTGTTGGAAGCTTCAGCTTTATCGCCACAGAGGGCAGCGGGATTCAAAGGAGGCAACTATATGCCATCCTTTTTTTGGATTTTATAATTGTAGGACCATTTGTAGGTAAGATACATTATTATGTTCAGGGCTTAAAACTCATTTGCGCATCTAACATTCGGATTGTTGAAAATAATGCAGGGATTATGGTTTCCTTTCCTCGTGGGTTTACAACATAGCACAAGGCTTTTAAAGGCCTGTGGTTTGTCTCTGTGCTTGCTGCAAAATATCATCTGTAGATAACAATGGAAAGTAACAGTTAGTTTGTCGTGATACCTTAATGGAAGCATCGTGATTATAACCAACCCTTATTAATGATATGTTCCCAACACAAAACTTTATGCTTATTTACCTTTTTTGCATTATATTAAATTTTGTGCTTCTAAAAAAAATTTAGTGCTACAGATTTAACGCACTACCTAAATATAATACGTAGTCTTAACTAGCATTTCCGCTTATAACCAACGTAGTGCTGGGTGACATACATACTTAGGGTGCCCTGAGAGGTATTTCCCATATTTATTGCCATTGGAAAGTGGGCCGGTATGCGACTTCAGTTCAGATGAATGACAAAATTAAGTAACTTCATTGGATAATTTCGGAACGGAATTTTAACCAACAAAATTTCCTCATTCGGTCGTCAACTGAACTGAACTTTATGGACGGTGGAAACCAAAAAATAGAGACAATTTCAAATGACGTCATCGTCATATACGAAAATATTTAAAAAATGGTGGATCGAGACAGTTGAGGTGTGCTATAAAGAGAGATATGACACCTTTAATACAAACAACACTCCACCTTACTGAAAATAGAATCTTCACACCTGCATGCATTATTATTAAAATATTTGCATTTCAGGTCAAGCGTCAGTCATGTACTTATATACGAGGCTTCGGTTTAATTGGGACGCAATGGACTATAGCGTATTTGGAGCTTATTCTGCAGTGTGTCATCTTATTGGTAAGTAAGTTATTTCAGTTACGGAGAAAAGCTTTATCTTGTTTTTGTACTCGATCTATATCAAAAAGACAGCTACGCCGTCTAACGTCTCACTTTGGGGCTCAGTATTTCCTTGGAGAATTCATGTTTTCATTTTTATCAACCGTACGATGGTGTATGACGGAGATACACGTTTTGAAGCACCAAGAGTCAAACAAAATCTCGATGATGTCGATATATCTGTTGGTCCTATCTATACTCTCCCTTCCGGCTGTGTTTTTCAACTTCTCGTTCAATTGGCACATTTTGAACTCGAGTTTAAAATCCCCACTTTCTTCTCTAGTTGTACAAATAACTATTAACGACTTTTGAAATTGCACTTACTACTCCTGTACCTGTACTGGAGTCCAACAGAATGGGGTGTAGTAGGTACATACAGGAGTGTCAGAAAAACTTGGGTAGACATCAGCGTATCCTGGACGGGGTTTTTTAGACGCCATTTTCCAAAATGGCCGACATCGATTTCGTTTTGTGTATATTTTTGTTCCTGAGATATAGTTATACTCATCATTTAGATGTCTAAATATATGTTTTCAAGGGCGAGGAATCGATTAAGATGGTTTATAAAGTTGCCTGAACGCAATTTATTAAAGAAAAATAGTACTAAAGGTTTGCATCAGGACTCCTCTTTACAGGACTTAATCCGTTTAAAAACTGGCCCGCATTACTGCAATATTTATGCTGATGCATCTTAAATAGCTGTTTAATTGAACATATTTTAGGAAACGTGGGTTCCATCGTTATTTTCTCAAAGCTGCTAAAAGCCGACGACTCGATACTGGGAGGTGTTTCAAGTATGAGCAGAATATTGGGTGGAATTGGATATGCTTTATCACCTACAGTCATTTGGTTTTATGCGTGTAAGTAATAGATAAGTTCTTTGATTCTATTCCTAACTCTTGACCATAGGCACACTTCTTGACGTAGTTAACGGAACGGCATTCATTGTGTCCCGGTCCATGGCCACCAAACTTGTTACAGAGAGCAATATGGGTAATTTTGTATCCACACCTAATATTTATACTGAAAGTGAATTTTTTAGGTAAAGTAAACTCCTTGTTTGGAGTGATAGAAGCCTTGTCGGCGTTGGCTTGCACACCGGCGTACAGTGCATTTTATAGGGTTACCATTGAGATATTTCCAGGGGCGTTTAATATCTTAGGAGTTATTGTTACCTTACCTGCAATACTAATATACATGTAAGTATTTTAAATTAGAAAAAAAGCACTAACTTTCTTAATTTCAGTTGGTTGTACATAAGAAGGGATGTTCGAGCTTGAAACTAGCCATTCGACGGATGACGATTTAGCGTTGTACACTAGACATAGAATGATAAGCGCAATTGAGATGTAGGCCTTTGCACATCCAGATGTATTTAAACAAGCCTTCGAAACTAGACTTATGCAAAACCACCCCCTATGCAAATAGCAATGCATTTTAGTAATAAACCGATACAACTGAATATCGAAGGATTTTCAGTATTACAATCACTTTTTTAACGACCATTTATTTTATTTAACCTTGCAATTTCCATCCATATCCAAATCACGTCTTAGGCATTGAAATAAAAACGTGAAAAATTTTAAATTTTTAATACCTGGTTTTTACTAGGTACAATAAGTAACGCTATTAAATTAAACTATGTGAATTTCTCTTGGAAAGATTTGTTTCTCATAGTCTTTCAACAACAGAAGAAACTTCGCCTGTACTACAAAGACACCATTTGAAAAACAGGAGAAGTTCTTCAGAAAGGTTGAAACCAATTTCATTAAGAGAACTCTGAAAAGTTCATTCTGGTGAATTCAAACACGCTTTCTCCATAATGAGGGTTGCTTTCAGTATATTAGTCACTTGATTTTCAGTGCCTAGTCGAGCTTGACTGAAACTCTTTAAGATTGAATTTTTGTTTTAGGTACAGAGAAAACGATATCAGGAATTTCTTGCTTGAAATATAATTTTAAAACTCTCCGGTAATTTCCGTTAGATTTGCCAATATTGTGTAGATCGGTTATATAACTTATGTTTCCAACACTCAGGAACGAATTTATACAGTTGAGAAACTCAATAGATGATCCAGTATTATTTTTCTGTCTACTTATATTTGCTCTCAAAATATTAGCGACGTTTTTGTTCCAACAATTATTATGATAGCATATGTCTACAGCGTGCGAATTCCTTAGACTAATGCATTCTGATAACTTTACAGCAATGACATCATTTTTCGAAACTTCAACTGCTTTTTTTGAAACATGGCCCGTATTGCTTTGCTTCGTGTGAATTTCGATGTTGTTGGATTCGACGATATATCAGAGGTAATTAAATTCATTTCCCGAAGTTTTGTCGTAGTTTCCAACTGCAGGATTTTATTTTTTTTTCCATTCGTTCCAAAGGGGTTTAGGAAACAATTATGCTATTTTCCATTTTAAGAGTACCAGGAAATATACGGGTTGTTTTCACCCTTCAGTCACCATTGCGATATTCGTGATCTACATATTTTCGTGAAGATGTCTCACATGATATTGCTTCATCAACTTGCATACAGGATCTTATACCTAGATACATAATTCAAAACTGACTAATAATATTCAAAGTATATTAATTACCATTGAAAAATAAACTTATTCGAATGTTCGAAGGATCACAAAAGGTCAAGTGTCTTACAGTACCTTTCGCCAAGACACCGTAAAAGTCCTCAGACAAGAAATTAAAAATTAAGCATTGTAACAATAAACCATTCCCTGATAAGTCCTCCAAATTTGTTTAAAATCAGCACCTACACAATTAATATTTAGCCAGTCGGTATATAAGGACCTATAAGAAGAAAAAAATACTAAGGAGGAACAGTCCCCATTCTCGTGTAAGTAAGAGCAATTATTCAATTTTCCAATGTCATAAAAATAATGCGTTGCATCCGTCCAATTAGTAGGTATAGGGTTAAATGTTTAAAGAAATGGAAATGGAAATGACGTTAGTGCTTTTCAGTAAGTTCAGTAAATTGAAGTGTAGGATCTGGGAAAACAAAATTCAATTATCTCCGTGAGAAACTAAGTAGGTACCTTTACAGTGCAAAGGTATTTATGGTTACAATTTTAAATCTCTGTGCACGTGATTAAAGCAGCATCAGGTTAGTAGATAACTGAAATGAGAGAAAATTGTATACATACAACCAAGTCACGGTGTAATAACAACACGTGATTACATAAAAAGGAAGTACCTTCGCTAATCCCTTGTTACAGTTTTTCGTAGTCTCGTTGAAGGTTAGAGCAGTAGGTACTTATTGTCGGCTGTACAACGAGGTGAATTTTGTGAATGCAGTAGAAAAGGTTTTCAAAATAGAAAGGTGACAAGGAAAACCAGGTATGTTAAAATTGTGTTGTGGTCCTTTTAGAGTATCAAACAAAATTGGAATTAAGTTACCTCGTGGCAATTGATTAATTAGTAAGGTCAAATTGTGTAATAATATGCTAAATAGCTTTGTTAAAACGGTTAAGTGGCATGTGTAACGCAATTTAAAATGATACCTGCTGAAGGTAATGATGCGATTTTTATTTAGGAACGTCCAATTTTCAGTAAGCTGTTACATATTTTCTCCTAGTGGCCTTCTTTCTTTACGATTCATGCCCAGGTAGAGGTGATTATTGAATAAAATCACAGTAATTTCCAATGTCAATGTAAATACCGTCGTAAACAGGGGACTGTTCCCACGATATGTTTGCAATGACGCCTGTACCATAAAGTACTAGTTTTCAGCTTTAGGTTTTGACATGAACAATGGTAAACAGTTTCTTAAAATATTAGCTTTTATGTATTGAGAGAATGCATCTTCGCAATTTATCCAGGAATGAAGACCAAGTAAGGGTTGTTTCAGAGATACTGTGTGGAATTATTGCCTATTATAGCCGCGCGTCCTTCAATCATTGTGAATAATGGTCAATATTAAAATAGTGTAATTTTAATATGAAATGATAATATTAGTCAACCTAAGGTCAACACAATGGGCAATAAAAGTGCAAATAAAATCGATAAGTGACCCTCCCAGCCAATTAGAAGTAGAATCTGGGGCCATGCAGCCTATGCACTCACAGATTGAATGGACAGCTAGATAGTTAGCACGTGGGGCAAGGTATTAGTTTTATTTTGAGCAATAAAAGCGAGATAAGTTCGGGTTTTAGGTTACCGGAAGCTAAAAGGAAAAGAAAGTGAATTAATTCTATCGTGTGAGTTTTATTGACGCAGAAAAGTACCTATGGATTATCGCGAAATTAAGAGGAAGTTCTCGTTTTGCTGCCCGTGAAACCAAAGAGGGGATTCAACTTCGTAGCCGTAAAAGATGTAAAAAAAATTGTTAGATAGTGAAGATTTCTCTTGTATCACTGTAAGGCGGGTTGTCTCCAGCCTAATTTTGCGTTACAACGTTTTCCTGCAAAAGAAACGCCTTATATGAGTTACCGTTATTCTATTTATGGAAAATTAAAGATCTGAATCTTTAATAAAAACATCATAAACACAATTGACATACATAACCCGTTTACAGAACGGATATAACTAAACGAATAAATGAATTCAAAGGATCGCAAGAAATACAAAGAGTTGTCCTTGCACTGGACCAAACTGGGTTGCCGCCGGTTCAAACTTGATCAGTGTAACTCACTAGATCACTGGGTCAGGATATGTTAGATTCAGATCATCTCTAGTATTAACATAGCGAATAGGTACATATAATGATATAAGTAACGAAATACAGAACAGGGGATGAAACTGCGAAATTACGCAGCAATCCATTTTATTTAGTGAATTCAGGAAATGAAGACAAAGAACGTACGGTTGCAAAATTTATGGGAGTGGAAAGGGACACCGGAAGAAAAAGAAAATGTTTTCGTAGTAAAGAATACTCAAAGATTAAGATTTTAAAGCACTTTCACATTCTTATTATTATTCTTTATTGTTGTAATGTAAAACAAATGGGGGATTAATATTAAAGGCACCGGCCGTTAAATTATTAAACATTTACCAAGCATTTATTTCCGACGACCGACGGCTTGCTTTCGTACCTCATAAGTGCTCTATCACCTACGAAAATAATTGTTATCTTATCCGTAATAAGTCCTTCACTCTATTCCTTTATTTTGAATTCATATTTAATAGTGTGTTTCGTTCGTGACAACATTACTTGTAATAATGGTTTTGTGAGTACCTATTTTGTTCACTTAATTACTTCACTTCTTTGTAATTTGGCCCACCTAAGTTAACATAATCCTTGAGATCAACAAAATATGCGGCTAAAAGGTAATTTGAGAATGGTATGTCTGGTATTAGATCAGGTTGTTTAATTTCGTTTGACGTTACCGACAGAAAGATGATCAAATTATCTGATTATAATTTCCATAATTTTTACGATTAAGCAACTCAAACGTTGCGGATTTGTGTTATAAATAACCGTCTTTTTTTTAGTAAAATGGTGGAAGTCCATATTGGAACCAAGACAGACAAGAGGCGCAGCGTAAAAGACATTATCAGCGTAATATGGAAGGAAACCTCAGTCGAGCCCATTGTTGTATTCTTTACGTTGCCATTTTATATGTCGACTCTGGCAATTCAGAATTTAAGTCTAGAAAAATCATGTAGAGTCAATCTTGATTTAAATGCGTCTATTTGTGACGCTCTACAAGAGAGGAATACTTCAGGGTATACAGAAAGCGAGGAAGTGGCGGTCCAGAAGGTAGTCGCGATCGCATCTATTTGGAAGAATGTTATAAACGGCATTTTTCCTGCTATTTTGTTACTGTTGTTAGGATCCTGGAGCGATCGCAATAGGCTTAGGAACGTATTAATCCTCATTCCAATTCTGGGAGAAGTTGTTGCAAATGTTGGCTTCCTATTATGCACTTACTTCTTCGATGAACTACCGATGGAAGTGAATACCGTATTTGAAGTTCTTCCTACGTCAGTAACGGGGGGTTTTAATATGGCATTTCTTGGCGTATTTACTTACATCTCAACGAACACCAGCCCTATAAACAGAACGTTTAGGATGGGCATTATTCAAACTTTGTTTTCTATATGTGTGGCAATTGGAAACGCGATTAGCGGAATAATGTATCACGCAATTGGATTTTATGGAGTATTTGGAGTGTCGCTGCTAATGTACATACTCAACGGATTCTATGTATATTACCTGCTACCAGATGATGCGCGCGATAAAGAAAAATCACTTAGCAAATGCGAACTCTTCAAAGATGTGTGGAATATTAAAGACACGTTGAAGAGTTTTAACTTCGTTAAGAAGGCTGCTAGCAGCGCTCGAACGCGACAAATATGGGCGATACTGATGTTAGAAATTTTAATTCTCGGACCCACTGTAGGTAAAACTAAATTAAGTTTGTGTAATGGTTGGTTTATTAACATTTTTAACTTGTAGGAATGATGGCGGTGCTGTATTTATATACTAGGCTGGCATTTAATTGGGATGAGATTGATTATAGCATATTCAGCGGCTACTTTTCTGTGGCACATCTAGTTGGTAAGTGAGTATTATGCGGTATCTCCGAAAATATAGAAGATACGACGATGCACGGAGAAAAATGTATGTTAAAGGTAATTAAAGATATAATAATAGCTAAAAATATAATACGTATAGGGATAGCTAAGAAGAATTATAAAATTTATCATATACATATACATATTGTTGTTTTCGGGGCTCAAAAAAGACAGTGTATAACCTTCCTTTTTTTACCAAAAATCGACTGCACCAAAATTTCTCGGGGAAACACTTTTTCTTATTAATTTTGGTGCGTAAAATCCAAAACAATTCGTACTTTTTCGATCAGACTTCTCAATCAAAATCTTGGAACTGTTTGAAATTATGGATTCTACAGGCCACATTCTATAAGAAAATTTTTTTCCGGGTCGATCTGAGACAATTTTTTTTTCGGGGCTCAAAAAAAGGCAGTGTATAACCTTCCTTTTTTACCAAAAATCGATTGCACCAAAATTTCTCGGGAAAACACTTTTTCTTATTAATTTTGGTGCGTACAATCCAAAACAGAACAAAATCAGGACACACATATTGGTTTCGATTATATAAAATTATAAGTTCAAAAATCATGATGTATTTGCAACAATAAGGTATAATAAACCCATTTCGTTAATAAACTATATTTTAATGTTTATTATCTATTTGCTCTTGGATATATTTAAATATCTAAGATCATAATACAATATCATTATTATAGTGAGAATAATTTTGATTAGACATATTCATATTGTACAGCGTGTATCAAGGTTTGTTTGATTTAATAATAACTTCTCGTACTGATTACAATATAATTTTTACTATATGATCTTAACAATCCATTTTTCTCCGTGTGGTCAAATTGAGAAATGCTTTAAAGAAAACTAGAAAATGATAGAAAAACCGAATTTTCCGCTTCAGTTTTTATTTTTTTCCTCATGTTATTTGAACAACTACAATAAAATAATGAACACTTTCTCGTTGCCACTTTTTGAGGTCATAGTTTTTTAATACAACGTATCGTTTCGGAGAAATCATCATCAACTTCATTTTTTTATATATCCCGTAAAAAAAGTACATTGAGTAGCATTTCTTATTACGAATACAACGATGCACGGCACACAAAAAATCAAAAGTTGGAAACTGTTGATTTAAACAGGATGGTGTACCGGCGCATAAGCCCTAATCGTGCGAGAATTCACTTGAAACCAACAGTTTCCAACTTTTGTTGGTTCGAGTTGGTTTCGGAGATCCCCATGATAGACATCTTTATCTTGGACAAATGCTTTTAGGAAACTTTGGTGCTATTGCGATATTTTCGAAATGGTTACGATTTGATGACTCGATTATTGGCACTATGTCAAGCATAAGCAAAATAGTAGGAGGAATTGGATACACTCTAGCTAAAACAGCCGTTTGGTTTTATATAAGTAAGTGAAAAAACAGGAAGTTGTCCAATTTTGTTATTAGCCATTTCCAGGTACACTGCTGGATGCAGTCAATGGGGCGGCGATCGTTGCGTCCCGATCTATGGCCACAAAACTTGTTTCAGAACACGATTTGGGTAAGTTTTTGCTTTTTTCCCGCGTACAACTAAAATTAAGTTTGTTTTAAGGTAAAGTCAATTCGTTGTTCGGAATTGTCGATTCTCTGGCCGCGTTGATATACGGCCCTATGTATAGTGCAGTCTATGAAGCCACAATTGACGTACTTCCGACAGCGTTTAATATTGTGGGTGTTGGTCTTACTATACCTGCAGTACTACTATACGTGTAAGTGACTGTCTATCATATTTCCATTACCTACTGTAATTTCCAATTTGGTTTATAGGTGGTTGTACGTAGGAAGAAACGTTCGATTAACAGAGAAAGCATAGAATATGGACTTCTGTGTTCCCAGAGTTACAATATACTAACAATCTCACATTATAGTGCAATGCCAGTAAGGTTAGTCACTAGTTCAATTGGACAGTAAGGACAATTAAATTCGTCGTTGCTGTAATGCTTGCTTTAGCAAAGTGACTAATAACAAGTGCGCTATTAAATATTATTTATTATTACATTATTAATTTAACAATAAAAGTAAGCATTCGATTGTTTAATAAAATTATTATTATTCAATGGTACATTGAAAACGTCACATATGGAGAAGTTATGGAAAATGTAACCTGCAAAACTGTTTTTCATGTATAAAATATGTAGCGATTCTAAATTTGTGTAACTTTTGCGTGTTAAATTATTTGCTTCTTTTGTTTAAAGTTTAGAACGAGGTTTAGAAGTTTTAGCTTTGCGGATTCTGTTCTTATCGATTGTTATGTTTCTTTAGAAGTGTAACTTCTTTTTAATTTTAATTGTCCATAAGTTCGATTATATTATTTATATGTTTTCTATCGTCATTTTTATATGCAGCACAGATGCAATAGATTAAGAAAATTCTTGCAGCAAAATCATTGCCCAATGTGTGTCCAAGATAAGGATGTGTATCATGGGGATTTCGGAAACCGTAGAAGATACGGTCAAATTAGAAGTTTTTCGCTCATATCTAGTAAACTGTGGATTCTTTTCAAAAAACAAAAGCACGTCTTGAATAAGCTCTTAAAACTCTTTCCTCATTTAACCGAATCTGTATCTCTTATGGTTTCCATGATCCCAATGCTTAAAATAAAACAAACTCACCCTGTATAATGTCAATGATTCTTGCAGAGAATGTAATTCCCCACAACTACGTAAAAAGTAAGCAGGTAATGAGCTAAAGGAAAAATCTGAGTTTTTTTTAAATTGCTCACTTCCAAGAGCCCGTAGTTGTATAGAACCAAACTTGTACCAAGTTAGTAGCCATATAGGGGCAGTTCTGGACCAAATTATGAAAAAATACAAATTGGAAATTAATGCGATTAATATACCAAGTACGGGAAACAGATAATGTTAGATACAGATAACTTTCATTTTCCCTCAACGCTTTTTTAAATATTTTAAAGAAGGAAACCGCATGGCGATTTTTAAAAAAGTGTTAAAGATTAGTGACGTCTACATGGCCAGTTCAGGTGCAGTCCGACAAATAATATTTTCTTCTTAATGGTAGTTGGTTTAAGCAAGACTGAAAAATATTTAGTTGTAACGTAATTCTCCGCCAGTTAACTCGTCATTTAAATGTATATCGCAGGAGGTAATAAACTCATTCAGAGAACGATCAAAACTGTGAAGTTCAACTTTATATATGGACTTCCAATTGAATTTCACTTACCTGGTTATCAGTATTGCGGTCCTGGAACAAAATTGGAGAAACGAGTAGAACGAGGTGGTTCCGGTCAATGTAAAATTCCTGATATCAGCTATCAAAAGTATCTTGATTTAGACAATAGACATAAAGCTGATAGAATCATAGAATATTAGAAGAAAAAGCCTGGTTTTAAATCAAGAGACACAGGTGAACGAATTGCGGCTTTAGCAGGTAGTAGCACTATGAAAGTAAAGACAAAATTAGGGATGGGCTAAAAAAGGAAAAATCAATATGTAATCTAGGCGGTACTTTAGCTTATTTACCTAAATCAGCTAAAAAAAATGACCTAAAACTTCAATCTGAGTAGCTTCATCCATTATTCTTGGTCCGTCTCTTTTCTTATTTTCCACTGACCCAGTTTCTTCAAGTTTAGTCACTAACATTGCAACATAAGTGTGACTGACACGTCGTTCTGGGTGTCGGGCATTAAAAACAGCTGCTGTTCTAAATGCAGATCGCGCTTCAGAACCATAGATGAAATGAAAATAATTTCAACTCTTTCGGCTAACGTGTACACCATTATGAAATCTTTAGTTAAATTCAAAATTTGTAATTTTCTTGCCAAGAAATACTAAAAACGAGACTAAAATAATAATAACCGATCAACAAATAAAGCAATAGAAAATTATTATTTACTAAAAATTGTTGTCATTGTTTTTCCAAAGCATCACTAGATCTAAGAAATTTTTTTTATTTCAAACACTGACAAATTCATCAAATACTCAAATTACTCATTTTTATTACATAAATTGTGAATGGGCAGTTTAAATGCACCAATGTATGGTATTTCTGAAAAGCATTTTTTAAGAGCTTTCCAATGATGTATCACAAGTGATACGTCACAATTCAAAATTTAGGCATGGGGTGGCGGGGGGTACGAGGTTGAAGTTGGTTCCTTCTTTATACGACCATTTTGCTTCCCCCTCGATTCTACCGAAACGGTTTTGGCCATTTTGTGATACCTCTAATATAAAAAACGATATCGCCCATTGAAAGTTTTAAAAGTGTCACCCTGTATATTTAGATATAACGGGTTTACCAATAAGAGCGATAGGATTTTAAATTGAATAAAACACAGTCAATTTGGTCAAATTTAGGTTTGATTGGTTTTATTAGATGCTGTATTTCATGCCATTTATGATTTAAACAAAATATCGTTCAAATGGCCACCGCGGCTCTTTTTGCACTGGCTCATCCGATCGGACCAATTTTCGATGACTCGGTGGATCATATCGGGTGGAATGGCAGCTATGGTCGCTCGAATGTTGGCCTCGAGCTCGTCAAGAGTCTTGGGTTTATTCGCATAAACCTTTGACTTCACATAGCCCCACAAAAAGAAGTCCAATGGTGTTAAATCGCATGATCTTGGCGGCCAATTGTGGGGGCCATTTTGAGAAATCAACGATTCACCAAACTGTTGACGCAATAAGTCCATTGTAGCGTTCGCTGTGTGGCATGTTGTTGGATAATTTCCAAGCGTTGAGGCAACGTGAACTTGTTCATGATGAAATGGCAAGCCTTACTGATGACAACTGACAGCATATGTCAAATGTTTGGCATCCAACATAGCCGCCTTAAACGTTTAAAATCCTATCGTCCCTATTGCTAAACCCGTTATAGTTATGTCCACGACATTCAGTTTAGAAGTGTTGGTAATGTTGCAAACTATGATTTTTACCCGCCCGCCTATAGAACTAGACCTGAACAAAAAGTACGTTATCGGATTGGTAGGATTTTACGGATGTGGTACCCCCTCCCCTTCCTCTGGGGGTACCAAAATCACTCGGGCTTTATTACACAATTACCAGGGGACCACACAATCCCGAAAAAATTAGAACCACACGAATTATTTTTTCAATATTTTCTAAAATGCCCGGACTAAAAGGGAATTATTATATGCAACGACAGGACCCTTGTAGGTACTCGCTTGTAAATAAGCGGTGCGATATCCTCCTTAATTGAGACACGTTCATTAGCAATTAACGCAGTTTAACTAAGACGACAAAATAATATAGATACCACCGAAGGGTAGCATAATAAGATCGGACCTTTATTATATGATTAAAAACCAAATGCGAACTAAGAACGAAGTTTCTACTCGACATTTATAGTTTAGTTAGAGAATAGAGTGGATAAATATTTGGGAAACATCACAATTGTGTAAATGAACTAAAAAAGTTACATCACCTGAACAATATGAAAAGTCAAAACGTATACCTTTAAGTTATAAATAGCGTTATGGTTTATAAGTTTGAAATACATATATATTAGAGACGCTGAATGGAAAGAACATTAGTGTTATTTTCAGTCGGTGGTTATTGTTATTTTTAACGTAAGTAACAAAAAACATATGGCTACGAACACACGCAAATGAATGTAAAAAGACGCATCTGAAAATCGAACTGTAATTTCGTTCAAAATGGAAATGCGCGCATTTTCCCAAACGTCAAGAGCTTTCCACTTCAATTTTTTTCAAAAGTTTGCTGTCCCATTGAAAGTTGGAAGTTTTGATTGTGTAGAAATCGCGATTTTATTCGATGATGAAATGGCGCTCACTTTCGATTTTTTTTTAACTAAACGATTGCGAGTAAACAGTGCGCTTTTCCTACTATGAGACTTCACAGTATGCTTAAACGGCATAGTTCGCAATTTGAAAAATGTTATCAATAATTCGGGAAGCGCAAGTCAACGGGTATGATAAAAGCAGGTGAACATCTTCGGATGAGTTTAGTTCCCGCGTGGGAAGCGTCGAAGTCATTTACGACACTTTGTGAAGTTGATCGTGCGAAATTGACGAACTTTTAAATGTTTTTCCTGCCCAATAAATTGAAACACTGATATCAAACGTAAGTGATTTTAAACGTTTACTGTATTTATAACTCAAGATGGTGATAAATTTGTATAAATAATTTAATATTAGATTATCCAGTATAATTTTAGTATTGTTGATAAATAGTGCATTTGCTGTAGGTCGCGGAACTTTCGCACAAAGGTTTTTTTTATATTTTTGACTACATAATTGAAATTGAAAATGATTCCGTAAAGTCAGAAACTTTCTAAACTGTACCATAAAATTAAACGCATGTTTGTAACGTTCACTATACATCGCTCAATAGTGTATTTTTAAAAGTGATAATTATTACAAGGCTCATACTGTACTTGAAGGGCACTTGCAAAACTAAATCGTCACACAAACTTGTGGTTTTGCAAAAAAAATAATCAAAAGATGAAAAAAATTACTAATAAAAAAACACAAACAGTTTAAAATCAGTTAATAGATAAACAAATTTTCAAAATCTATGCAATAAATTCATGGTATCTAAATGTGATTTGCGTAAAGTATTCAATATTTATGAAAATTAAGAGATACACTTTGGCTTTGGGGTCATTGTTTTTTATATGGATCTTGATTATTCTAGTTTTATCTCCAATCAATGGCGTGGAAAGTTACCCAAAAAATTTATGGAACATTTTCGTTTTAGTTTACAAAATGTATAATATGCGAGTTTATCAATAAACGGTCATCCTAATCACTTGCCGTGCTCTGAAAAAAATCGCAGCCTTCAAATATTTCTGAACGTTTTATCTTTTAGTTGAAACGAACTTGCAATTTTAAAGATCAAATACTTGTCTTTCAACGCGATCTTCTTCAATTACTAACTAGGTAGAAGATTGAGGTTGGCAGTCTTGACTCCCTTAAATTTAAAACTTATTATCGCAATTATGCCTTCAAACTGAGTTATTTTACGTCCTATCACAAAGAAAATTCGAGTAAGTGAAAGGATAAGTCAAAACGTGTTAAGCATTTCTAATAATGGAACGATTATAATCCATCCAGCGTTAAGCGTTAAAGCTCTGTATTTTCTTAAGGATTAGGTAAGTATATATCTGCAGGCGACAACCGTATATTGAATATGTATACGAAGTACCTACACTACCATTTAAGTAGAACTTTCTTCTATTGTTAATTGTGGCAAATTTGATCGTTATAAGATAAACATTAATAGTTTGGCAAGAAAAGTAAACTTATTTTTACCTCTCCCGAAACGTGCTTTCACTATTATAATGACATGAAAAGGGAAGGCGAGATATTACTATAAACCAAGAGGCTTTTACCGTATTTTGGCACATTTCACTATAGTCAATCCTTAGACAATCCTCTACATAAACTGATCAAATGATATAAATTGCTTATTAGTGAACAATAAGTCTTTGTCAGTGAAGTAAAGCAAAATTGTTTCCATATTTTCAGGTAAAACTCGTCTTTCTTTTAATAC